AAGGTGAGAAAGCTCAGAACAGATAATGGCTTGGAATATTGCAACCATCAGTTTGAGAGTTTCTGTAAAGCTGAAGGTATTGTAAGGCATAAGACTTGTGCATACACTACTCAACAAAATGGTGTAGCTGAGAGGTTAAATAGAACTATAATGGAGAAGGTAAGAAGTATGCTGAGTGAGAGTGGTATGGAAAAGAAGTTTTGGGCTGAGGTTGTATCTACAGCTGTGTTCTTAATAAACAGATCACCTTCAACAGCAATTGAGTTTGATTTACCTGAAGAGAGATGGACCTCAGCTGTACCGGATTTGAGTTTACTAAGAAGATTTGGTTGCTTAGCATATGTGCATGCGGATCAAGGCAAGCTTAATCCCAGAGCTAAGAAGGGTATTTTCACAAGTTATCCTGAGGGAGTAAAAGGATACAAAGTCTGGTTATTGGATGAAGGCAAGTGTGTAATCAGTAGGAATGTTGTCTTTCGAGAAGACATCATGTATAAAGATCTGAAGAATGGAACACCAGTTGGTGTATTTGAGATTGATCTTGAGGGAACTGGAGCAAGTTCAAGTGATAATGATCATCGAGTTACAGATCAAGGTGGAGTTATTCAAGAGAAGGATATTCAAGAAGGAACGAATACACCCACGAATGCTACTGAGAGTTCATCTAGTGAACAACAAGAAATAGAGAATGATGAATCAGGGTCTGAAGAAGAAGAAGACCTTAGTGATTATCAATTGATTCGGGATAGAGCTAAAAGAACTATCAAGATAAATCCAAAGTATAATGAGTCAAATTTGGTTGGTTATGCATGATATTCAGAAGATGGTGAAAAGGCAGAACCAAAATCATATCAAGAGGCTCTGTTGGATGCTGATTGGGAAAAGTGGAATGAAGCTATGAAAGAAGAAATGGCTTCTATGAAGAAAAATCATACTTGGGATTTGGCTGATAAGGATAAGACTATGAAGCTAGTAGGGTGCAGATGGATTTTCACAAGAAAGGCTGGTATTCCTGGAGTTGAAGCACCTAGATAAAAAGCCAGACTTGTTGCAAAGGGTTTTACTCAGAGAGAGGGTATTGATTATACAGAAATTTTCTCACCTGTTGTTAAACATGTGTCTATCAGGTACATTTTGTCAATGGTAGCACATTTCAACATGGAATTGCAACAAATGGATGTGAAGACAGCATTTCTTCATGGCTTCTTAGAAGAAGAAATCTATATGGCTCAGCCTGAGGGTTTTGTAGACCAGAAATATCCAGAGAAGGTATGTCTACTTAAGAGATCTCTTTATGGTCTTAAGCAGTCTCCTAGGCAATGGAATAAGAGATTTGATGAGTTTATGATTGGAATTGGTTTCCTGAGGAGTGCTTATGATAGTTGCGTATACTTTAAGAAGTATGAGGATAAGGTATATGTGTATCTGTTGTTATACGTGGATGATATGCTGATTGCTTCAGTTAATAAGTCACATGTTAGTGATCTTAAGAAGATGCTGAGCAAAGAATTTGAGATGAAGGATCTAGGTGATGCTAAAAAGATTTTAGGCATGGAGATCACTAGAGATAGAGTTGCTGGTGTGTTAACTTTATCTCAGGAAGGTTATGTGAAGAAGGTTTTGAAAACTTTTCACATGGATAAAGCTAAATCTGTGAATACTCCAATGGGAGTGCAGTTTAAGCTTGCAGCAGCTACTGATAAGGAGTATGAAGAACAGAAGCACAGAATGAAGATTGTTCCATACTCAAATGCAGTTGGTAGTATCATGTATTCAATGATAGGCACTCGACCAGATCTTGCTTTTCCTGTGGGAGTGATTAGTCGCTTTATGAGCAGGCCTTTGAAAACACATTGGGAAGCTGTCAAGTGGGTCTTGAGATACATGAGAGGTTCTGAAGAGAAAAAGCTGCATTACAGAAAGCAAGGTGATTTCTTGCTTAGAGGGTACTGCGATTCAGATTATGCAAATAATCTTGACAATCGCAGGTCAATCACAGGTTATGTTTTCACTGCTGGTGGTAACACTATAAGTTGGAAATCTAAATTGCAGAAGGTTGTATCTCTGTCAACAACTGAGGCAGAGTATATGGCTCTTACTGAAGCAGTGAAAGAAGCTATTTGGCTTAAGGGTTTGGCTGGTGAGCTTGGTTTTCATCAAGATGCTGTTGAAGTAAACTGTGATTCTTAGAGTGCTATTGCTTTAGCTAAGAATTCAGTTCATCATGAGAGGACCAAGCATATAGACATCAGGTTACATTTCATTAGAGATATCATCAGTGAGGGTTTGGTGAAGGTTGTGAAGATTGCAAGTGAATGCAACCCTGCTGATATCTTTACTAAAGTTTTACCTGTGGACAAGTTCGAAGGAGCACTAGAAATGCTCCGGGTAACTCAAGACTGAGCGGTCAAGCTCAGGTACCGGAGGGGAATCCAAGAACTAGAAGAGTGAAGGCTTATGAAGATTATCAGAGTCAAGGTGGAGAATTGAAGTAATTGACTATGATATTCTTCAGGTGGAGTCTAAGTGTGGTGAAGACTCTCAGGTCAAGAGAGGGTTTCAAAGTTTCAGATGCAGGAAGAAGGCACGTGAGTTTCACGTGATGCCGTTGATGGTTCTAACAAACCAAGGAGGGGCATAATCGTCTTTTCGCTTCAGCTCTTATATTAAGTCATCTTCTTCTCTTCCTCTGTATCGATTCATTTTTTACAAGTTTGTTAGATTTGGATTGAGGAGAGAGAGAGAGTTGAATCTGAGAGTGAGAAAGTTTAGAGAGAGAGAGCATCTGAGAGATTGTAACGATTACTTTGTTCACCAAGTTCTAGTGGATTCCGGAGGAGTTTCTCCGGCGAGACGTAGGAATCCGGTTTGGATTCTGAACTCGTTAATTGCTCGTGTTCTTTCGTTTCTGTTCTTGTTCTCGATTCATATTAGATTCATCAAAGATCGTCTTCATTCAGCATTTGCTCAAGTCTAAAGATAGAGAAGATTCTCTACAATATTGATTTGACAAGTTTTGGCCTTGTCAAAGTTGGAACAAAACCATTACCATACCATACCAAACTGACGCATGAATGTTCTGATAAGGTCTTAAGAACCCTAGAATTAGACAGACAACACACAAAAGTTAACCTGTCAGACAACCGTACGACCATTCCAGAGAGGAAGACCTAACCGGGTAGTGATCTTCTACAGCGCAGAAACTCTTTCGAGACACACTCGAATCGCACGGTTATATATCATCATCCAGGTTTAAGTTCCTGTATCCTTAGAAACCAAGGATACAGAGGTACAAACCTACAGAACAGATACTGTTCAAGCAAGGTCGTAAACAACAAAACTCGTCTTCCCCTTTAACGATGTGGTGCAAACTACAAAGAAACGACTTAAGTCAAGTCAGCTTAACTTGACTAATACGTCGTCGTTTTCTTCTTCAACAAATGCATTGACTAACACGTCGTCGTTTTATGACTCAGTGAACACTAATGAAGAGATAGACTGAAAACAGAGGTTTCTTCTCTGAATCTCATTTTTGCTTAAACCCTAAAACCCTTTTGGATTAGGTTTTTTCTCTTCAATCTTATCCGCCGTGATAAAAAAATCTGATTGCTTTGATTCATGAAGTTTTGATTTCTGAAGTACGATGATTCTCTCACGCTCTGTCTCCGTGCTTCATTTGTGCGGTGTCTCTTCTTCAGCGCCGTCGAAGCTCTTATCTCAGAAGTTCAAGGTCTCCTTCGCTCTCGCTTATGGCTCATCTGTTTCTTTCCGTTTAAGCTCCCTGAATCGATCTGATGGGAAATGGGTTCGTGGGTTTGCGTCTGCTACTGAAGCAGAAGTAGAGAAAAAGGGTAATGATACGTTTTTTGCGGACCATACTGTTTCTTGGAAGTCTCTTGGGTTATCAGATAAGGTCTCTGTAGCTCTTCAAGATTCTGGGTTTGGTAGACCATCTCTTACCCAGGTCAGTTTTCAAATCTAATAGAGAATTTGGAGAAGTTGAGTTGAACTTGCTAGACGATTTGGTTTTATGGGTTCAATTACTAGTGAAAGGAAATTGAGAACCTTTATTACTACTAATTTCACAAAAAGGTATTTCTTTTCCATTTTTGGTTCAGAAATGTTTGATTGTGAAGCTGACTCTGTATTGCTTTTTTACCTGTTAGGCTGTTTGCATACCGTCTATATTGTCAGGGAAAGATGTTATTGTTGCAGCAGAAACTGGTAGTGGTAAAACACATGGATATCTTGCTCCAATAATTGATCGTTTAGCGAACACCGCTCTTGATTCTGAGAATACGAATGGAGAGGGAAGGCCGTTTCCGCTTAAGAATCTCTCTCTTATTCTGTGTCCAAATGTGATGTTGTGTGAACAAGTGGTGAGGATGGTTAATGGTCTTCTTGGTGAGGATGGTAATCCACTTCTCAGAGTTGAAGCTGTTTGCGGGGCTCAGGTAACAATTTCTTCCCGACAAGCAAATTGTATTTACTTCTTTGATACTTTTTTATCTGTCTTCTATAACCATTTCCTTTATTGGTGTGAGCTCTGCTCCTTTGTAACTGTTTTTGTTCAAATATAGCTGAATATGGAAGTTGTATTTGCTCCAGGGTTGGCCAGATAGACTGCCTGATATAATTGTTTCTACACCTGCTGCTCTTCTCAATAATATTGAGCCGAAAAGAAATAGGCGTCTGGAATTTCTTCGATCTGTCAAATATGTGGTACGGCTTATTGGTTAGAGTTGTATTGTATTGTGTTCTGAGAAATTTTGGAATTGCAGATCTCCTTTTGAATGATTGGATAACTTGCAGGTCTTTGATGAAGCTGATATGCTTCTGTGTGGAAGCTTCCAGAATCAAATTATCCGTCTGATAAATATGCTGCGTTTCGATGAGAAACAAGTGTCTCGTTTGGCTACATCTGCAATTGGCAAACCAATGGAGATTGATACCCTTGTCCCCCAAATTGATCTAGAAAATGAGGATGATGCAGAATTCGATGATGGGTCTATTTCTGAGGAAGAGGATGAAGAAGAGGAAGAGGAAGCAGAGTATCTTGATGATACAACACAAATGCTTAGTGTTGAAGCCGAAGCTGGATCAGATACAAAAAAGGGTTGGAGAAGAGTGAGAAAGATCTATAGCCGTAGCAAGCAATATATCTTTATTGCAGCCACACTTCCAGTTAACGGGAAGAGGACTGCAGGAGGAATTTTGAAACATATGTTTCAAGATGCTATTTGGGTTAGCGGAAACTTTCTTCACCGAAACAGTCCGAGGTGAAAAGTTCTCACTTTTATCTTCGTTGTAGTACTGTGCATCACTCACCCCTTTCATTATGTATTATATTAGAGGTCTAAATGCGAACAGGAAATGAATATAAGCTCTTGGTTGAAAGTTATTGTTTTGATGTTTCTAAGAAATTTGCAATCTGCTTCTCTTGATTAATTACTTAGTGGTAGTTTGTAAGCTACTCAAACCAAGACTTTGTTATTGTCTTCCTATGTTGCAGACTAAAGCAAAAGTGGGTTGAAGTCACAGTAGACTCACAGGTTGATGCTCTTATAGAAGCTGTAAGAAACAACAACAACAACACCACTGAGAGGACAATGGTGTTTGCAAACACGGTTGAAGCGGTTGAAGCAGTGGCTGATATATTGGAGAAAGCTAGTATCCAGTGTTATCGTTATCACAAAAACCACAAGCTTGAGGAACGTGCTAATATATTAGCTGATTTCAGAGAAACCGGCGGTGTCTTTGTTTGCACTGATGCTGCTGCCCGTGGAGTTGATGTTCCTAACGTCTCACACGTTATTCAGGTTGCTTTCCTAATTCTAACTAACACCCTTTTCAAAGCACTCAGCTCTCTAAAACCATAATGAAAATCCTCGGGTGGTGATTGCAGGCGGATTTTGCTAGTTCTGCAGTGGATTTCCTTCACAGGATAGGTAGAACAGCCAGAGCTGGGCAATATGGAACGGTGACTAGTCTATACACCGAGGCTAACCGTGATTTAGTACAAGCAATCCGGGAAGCAGTGAAGATGGGTCAGCCAGTGGTATAAATTCTATCAAACTCCCATGATCTCAATTCAGTTTTATCATCATCACCCTTTCATACTCGAGCACAATATTAGCTCATGAACATTGGCATATTCCTTCTGATGATCCATTCTTGTTATATGAAATATTCAGGAAACTGCGTTCAGCAGGAAAAGAGGGTTTAGGAACAAGGTTAAGAAAAGAGGTAAATAAAACTTGAATCCATAGATGCTGACTGAGAAAGATAAAGAGAGAAGCTAATTGTGTTTATTGTTTAATGTTTCAGCTTTCTTGAAAGCTGGAGATGCAGAGGAGCCTCAAGCTGTGAGATTTTAAAGTTCTGTAGTTTCTTTTACAATTCCATAGGCATTGTTGTATATAGAAGTACCGCAAAATCAAAATAATCACTTTCTTATTTTCGTGTACCAAATTTTTTGATATGTTAAACGATCTCTTTTATGCATTTGACACCAAAAAAGTGTGTATTTTGATTCTAATAATCATAAAAATCCAAAGACAAAGGAGAAGCATGAAGAGAAAAACGGAAAGAACTGAAATAAGATAAGTGATCCATAAGATGATCACTTTGGTCGTCTGACTCATAATCTTCTGCAACACAAACTCAAGTTCTTGTCTCTCGTCTTCAACTTCTTCTTCGTGTCATGATTGTAACAATGCTCCATGTTCATACACAAAAAAAAAGAAACCACGATCTTGCGGTTGGATCCAAATTAACAAGAAACTACTTCGCAAATCTGAACTTTTAAACCATATATAAATAGCTTCACATACTTGTAATTGTTACACATAAATGTATATAAGACCTATAATAAGGAGAAGATAAGTTATTAGCTCACAAGTCACATGAATTCGAGAATTGGGACTCATCATCAGCTTCCTGATCTTATCGTCTTCTTCCTGAAACCAAGCTTCCAACGTTTTTAGAATCTTGGAGAGATCAAAGCAGAGGACGAGCCAACTCCAACAATCTGAACGATTGGGTGTCTTCTTCAGACACTTGGTCTTATTCAGGTTCATAGCTCGCTTCGATGCTCTCGTCGGTCAAGATCTTGTGTTGTAAAAAACAAAGAAAGTAGAACCGAATTCTACAAACCACTCTGTTATACAAACAGACGTGAGGAACAGAGAAGAGCTGTAAGACGTACAGAGAATAAGAACTTTTACTGAATGATACTTTTCTCTGAATAACTCTTTTATTTCTCTGGTTCTCTAGTTCTCTCTTGTTCATTTTTTTCACAATGAGATTACATCACTTATATAGAAATCTAGAAATGTAACTTACTCCCATTACCTCATGTACTCATTATTGTCCTACATTAAACATAATTTGAAACCCCCAAATTAATACTACAAACATAACTGACAAATACTTAAACTCTCACATTTATTCTTCTTTGACCAAGCATTGAATCACTTTTCAACATCTTGGCACTACACTCAATAACGTCAAATTCTTGGTGTTCGCTACTGAATTCAAACACGATCTCTTTGTTCATTTCTGAAGGTTCGATAGATAGCCATCGAGAGTGAAATATGAGTAGATGTTCCGTTTGAAAGTTGAAGACACGGCCTATGTAGATCATATCTGACAAATCAGGGTCTATGTCCCCTTGACCTTCTCGACGACATACTAGTGAGGACATATCATACACAGGTTTGTGGCTACGGTGAATTACTACGCACACTGCAAAGTCGGTGTAAGGGTGGCCACCGTCCGGACGAATGGTCAATACATTTCCTTTGCCTCGTCGATTGAACTCTGCAGGCATTTTGCTTCCTGGTAAGAGCGCCAAGCCATGACGAAACGGTCTTTGGATAATAGCTCTTCGTGCTTGTTGGCACAATTTAAAGCAGTTTGAGAAATTGAGGTGCGCTTGAGGAGTGTTGACAGGGGTAAATACAGTCTCCAGTGATTCACAGTCATCTGCAAATAGATAGAACAACGAACTAGGGAGTTCCGGCAATGATGCAAGTCTTCTGCAACCATGTAGAAAAATATAGTGTAGGGAAGGAAGATCTCTGATGCAATCTGGTATCCTTTCAATATCAGAATTGCTTAGGTCTATGTTTGTTAAACTAGGGGGGAGATGTGTTACTCCCTTGAGCGTTCCACGTCCGCTCATAGAGAGGGTCTTGAGACGAGAGCAAAACCTAATTGATGGGGGCACGCCTTCAACCGTTGTCCCTGATATACAGAGTTGTTCCATGTTCATTGAAATAACTGGAATATTTTTCAATTTTGAGCATCCAGTCATATAGACCCATTCTAGAGATGCCAAGTTCATATGAGCTGGAATGACTTGTAGGTTTATGCAGTCGAGCGCCCACAACTTATGTAACTTATGAAGATACGAAAAAGAGGATGGTAACTCTACCAAACTCTCGCAGCCAGTCAACGTTATCTCCTCGAGATTTGTAGCATGCGTAAGATCTGGGAGATCCTTCAAATTCTTGGACCCATACAAATCCATTTTCTTGAGATTTTTTAGCGGCTGTATATGTAAAGAGAAAGTGTTATTAAACATGTAGATCATTCATGTATTGCAAATAGTTATAGGACAGCACAAACCTGGGCTCCTTTCCATAACTTCTCGACCTTGCTATCTTTAATGGAGAGGTCAACAAGATATGTTGGATTAAATGTTGGAGGAAGACTCTTGCTTGGGTATGTACACCAATCTAGTAATCTTAGACTACGCGGAAACTCCACCTCCTCATGTATATGCATTCTATCATTTTCATCAATTGTGCTTTTGTAGACTCTTAGGAATCGAAGATTAGGCATTCTTTTAAAAGCTTTCTTGCTTATAGACAGTTCTTCAATTCCTGATATATCAAATGATATACCAGCAACATTCCTGGTACCCTAAACCAAAAGAGAGTAATTGTTAGTAACAGTTGGTCTAATATTTTAATGTATGATGAATCAATAAACAAAGAGTATTATAATTACACAAGAGAAAGAATTTACGTTGGCATGCTCAAGAACATCACAAATCTCTCGAGTATCCAATAAGATTTGTCGTTTCCAAGGCTCTTGTTTCTGAATGCTTTTTTTACCCATTTGTTGTAGTAATCTGTGCATCTCTATTCCTTTCCCATCTGTAGTTATCTCTATGAGAGATCTGTTTTCCAAGATTTTCAACCCGTGTATGACATCCAGTTCACTGTCGGCGAACATGGTTTTCACAATGCCATAATCTCTATTGTTGAAGAAGACTGCAATGTGGAGAAATAGTGTTTGCTCATTCTCATCTAAACTTTCATAGCCAACTCTCAGTACGTCATCGATATCTCGATCAAGAATAGTTTCAAGCCTTCTCATCACATCTTCCCATTCGTCTTCCTTCTTCCCGCATAAAGATGAACCGATGACACAAAGACCTAACGGAAGCTTTCCACAAAGCTTTGCTACTTTATGTAAACGCCCTTCAAAACCATGATGGAGAGATTTTTTTCTAAAAGCATATCCACATAATATCTTGACCGCTTCTTCATCAGATGGAAATCCTACACGGTACGTATTGTTGATACCATGTTGCTGTAAAATCTCTTTGTTTTCTGTAGTAACAACAATTCTACTTCCAGAACCGAACCATGTAGTTTCATTCGCCAACGCCTCTAATTGCTTTATATGATTGACATCATCAAGAATAATGAGCACTCTTTGCTTGCGTAACCTTTCTTCTATCACACCTGAATGGCATATCCTAATACCATCCTGGTTCAAAACCTTTGAAAGAAATTGTTCTTGTAAACGCAACTCATATAGACCACTATGACAGCTTCCTTTAATATTATCCATAAAACAACTAAGTTGAAACCGATTAGAGAGTCGGCTTTGTAAAGCTCGGGCAATGGTTGTCTTACCAATCCCTGCAGGACCAATAATTGCAACCATCTTAACTTCATCATTATCTAAATCTAGTAAAGACTCCATTTCTCTCAAGTGAGATTCAAGTCCCACCATGCCATCAAAATCCTTAGATGGTGTAGCATTCAATTTATCGGAAACATCTCTCGCGATCTTGTCTATCATTTTTGCTTCATTGTCCCTTAAAGAAAAAGCATAAGCATTTTTTTCCATCAACGACATGTATTTCTAATGTTCTCAATCAACATAAACATTACCTGATTTAAAAAAAAAACATTTTCATAATCATTTAGATTCCAATTCATCATGAAACACCATTACTAATCTATTTTCCCAAAGTCTGATTTTTGATATATATATATATATATATATATATATATTTTGAATAACTAAGAGGTTTTGGGCCGAATCTCATATATCATAATATGTTATATGGTCTCGTCCTAAGCGCTACTTCAACCGGCGACCTCTAGGCTTTTGCCAAAGATCTTTACCAATTAAGCTATTAGCACCTGGTAAACTCAAATTCTGATTACCGCTTAATATAACAAAGAAATAAAAACTCGGATTAATGAAAGACTAACCATCTTAAGAAATCTTCTCCAGCAATGTTGCCAGCTTGTTTCAAAGCTTTGCTCCATTTCTGCCTTTCCTCGTCTGTCCTACGTGCACAAGTTTCATTGAATGTGATCCCGAAGTCCCCAGTTTGGTTCCGTACATGAGATGGCTCAACTCCGTAGAATATGGTCATCACTATCTGTTCAAAGGCCTTCTTGCAGTTCAAAATCTCCACCAATTCATCCAAACACCAGCTTGACGATGCATATTGCTTGGAGAGAATCAAGATCGAGATCCTCGATTCTTTGATAGCCTTTTTGAGTGAAGGGGCGATCTCTTTACTTCTCTCAATCCCTTGATCATCGAACATAGCGATCCCATTGAAATCAAACTGTTTGCGCATGTGACTAAGAAGTGTTTTACGGACGTCAGGCCCGTGGAAGCTTGCGAAGACATCGAATTTGTAGTTGGGAGAAGGAAAAACGTTAGGAGAAGTGATCATGAGAGACATGCTCTTGAGAGTTTGAGAAGTGGAAGAAGATAAGTAGAAATCAGATTTTTGTGAAGCTAATGTGTTTCTGGAAAGCAAACAGAAAAAAAAAAAATAAGTGTATTGGTTTTTTGCTAAAGGCCGTCTGTTCAAAGACCGTCTCTTGTAAACGCGTTATGTTTTTGTTGTTGCTAAAATGTGTAATAAGTGGAAACGCATTATGAATTCTTGGGAATAAGTGGAAACGCATTATGAAGTCAAATAATTAATAATGCATGTTTGTCGTTATTATATGGGTTGCCACATTATTACAACCACAACTTGTACTTATTCCGTTCTCGGTATTTCAACCTGTACATTTTACCTTTTCATAAAATAACACAAACTTTATTTATTCTGCATAAATCAACCTATACTTCTAAAACCATCTAAAACAGTGTCTCTCCAATTGAAATAGATAATCACGATTACTAAATTCGATTAAACCATTAATCGCGATTACTCATTGCGTTTCATCCTAATATACGTCTCAACAATACCATATATGACTCGAGACGATAACCACGTAGCTTTGGGAGAAAAAGAGAGGCAACGTGAGGATTTTTGGTAGCTTTGGTAGGGATTCTCCTCCGTCTTTTGATGTGTATGAGAAGAATAGCTCGTAATTTTAGGAAATTGAGATAATTGATGTGTCAAGAAACCTAAATCCCCACGTTGCCTCTCGTTTTGGAACGATTAGGGCTTCGGGTTAGCTATTTATAAACAATAAAAACCAATGATAAAATGACATGTCAGCAAGTGATTTACAGTAAACTTGATGAGAAGCAAATTAATTTTAAGTAAACATTATTAGGAATACAATACATTTCTCAGAAGCAATTTAACAAATTATTTTAACTACATGATATTCTTGTTTATTTCTTATTTTTTTTCTTTTCTTCAGCACCGGGAAACTTGGTTTCTAAACAAGAAAAATTATGATAAAAAGCTTTAAAACTATGAAGAGTTAAAAAATTAGATACATCAGTTTTATAAATTCGAATAATACACATGTTTTCAATAGAAGTATAGAACGATGTTTGCCCTTTTATAATACCTATTTAAAATTCTATATTACATCTCTCACTTAAGAAGCAATTTAACAAAATTCCAAACAAAAATAAAAGGATATATATTCATATAATAAAATTGGTCTATATTATTTTTTTTTTGCTAAGACTGAATGACCAAACATTCTTTAATCAAAACCAAAATGGAGTACAATCAAACACACACAAAAAAAAAAGGCATTACAAATGAAACTGATGTATTTGCAATAGACAATTAACATAATACATGAGAGACAATCATCCAACAACATGATACAAGATCCACACGAATCACACACTAAAGATTCACCTCACTCAACTATTTCTCTTATGCCATTCATCAAACGTTGACTGCAGCAACATACTCAAAGCCATATTCCACCGGAATTGGATTTTTAAGCACTGCACCAAACCACTCGACCTGCCCCCAAATCTCTACACTATTACTTCTTTCAAGAGCAATCATCGCACACCAAATCATCCTATTCTCATATCCACCACCACCACCAGAAGCCACAAACTTGTCCCAAAAAAGCGCCATCTTCCCACCGTAATCCGCCAACCTTACATTGGCAAAACGAGCAAACTTAGGTAGCTTTTTCAGACCATTCACGACCCTCCAGGATCTTGCCTTAGTGTCATACCATTGGATAGTTTCTTCGTTAGAATAATAGTAAAGCACGTTTTCTATAACACAAGCTGAAAGTCCATTCAAACGCAAATCCATCTCCGGTCCTAAACTATTCCATGTACCATCCTTGGGGTTGTAAGCCACACCCTTATCCCCAATAATATATACCTTTTCATCAACCACTACATTGTAAGTGTGATCATGACATCTATATATCGTTAACCTACCTGCACGACTCAACACAGGCTCCCAAGTTTCGGTTTTTAGATCGAAAACCTCCATCCAGTTCGATGGATCGTATTTTCTATAACAAAATCCTGTTACATATATTTTTCCATCAAGGAAATTAGCTGATGGGCTATCCCGTTCCATCTGCATGCTAGGAGCTTGGAGCCACGTGTGAGACCAGCAGTCTAGGATTGAGACAGTAGACGAGGCTGAACCGTTGATGACTCCACCAATGTTGTAGATTTTAGAACCAACCGTCACAAGAGCCGAGCTCTTTCCACGAGGATAATGAGTAAATGGGATTGTTGACAAAACATACCCACTTGACTTATTCTTCTTCTTCCTATTGGTTAGGATAGGATTAGGTCTAGGACGTAGCATGTACCAGCGAGGGGTGTGGTCAGTACGAGACAAGCGTAAGCATACATAGAGAAAATTCTCGGTGCAACCTAATAGTGATCGGGTTCGGTAAAGCTCTGATGAAGTAAGGAGCGAGCGGAAGTGCTTGGAGACTAAGGAGAGAGTTGGATAATACAATCTCGAGACACGGGCTAAGATGCTCAGTAGCAAATCTTCTGGAAGTGAAGGATTTGAGGTTTGTTTGTTTGGTAGTTTTGTTTTCTTCAGTGGTGGCTCTTCGCCGTTCATGGTGGCTAGGGTTTGGTCTTTGGAAATTGATTTTGCTTTCTTCTTCACGAAAGGTTTGTCGAAGTATGGAATTGGACTGCATATTGATGGGCCGAATCAAATGATCTGGCCCAGTAAGTCTTTACACATGTCAGTTTTTTTTCTTTATGTATCATTAACACAATCTATCTATATTAACATTTTTATAGTAACTTTTGTGTTTTACCCTTTTATTTTGTATTATTTGCATAATTAACCCTTTCCATTAGAATAAATAACAAAACTTTAAGTTAAATTTGGTAATTAAATCATAATAAAATTGCAAAATTGGAATTCAATATTTATTATATTTAACAAAATTTCATAAAATCTCTCCCTAATAAATCAAAGTTTCTCCAACATATTTATATGATCTTATATGTTTTAAATTTATACTAGGGATGGACCCGCACGTACGTGCGGGATTGGTTGCAAAAACTATGTTTATCATAAAGTTTCTAATATTTTAATCGACATAATATAAGACTCGGATCGAATGTGAACTGAATGACTGATAAATTAGAAATCAATTAAATTTGTGAACTATCACATCACATAAACTAATGAAAAACATTAAAACTTTTGAATAAAATAACATAAATATAGATATCAGGACAGTCAAACCCGTTCACTATGCATGTCCTACAACAAAATGAAATATTTTGGTCCACCCACATGAATAAATAGTATGTCTTCAGCTTGCCCGTTACCCATAATTCCCTTTTGTATATTATTAGAATTAGTTAAAATAATAATTTTTTATTTTCTAAATTACCCGTTCCCTTTCCGTTATTTCTTGTCCCAATATTTGAAATTTTTAAGTGAAACTTACTTTTGCTATTAAAATTTCATATTCTTGTATCATACCCGTCATTTGATATTTAGAAGTTAAAATTAAATTTAAGTTTCCAAATGTTTTATATAGGCTTGTTTTTGATGAGAAATAGTGTAGATATTTTTTTTTTTTGAATTACCCATTCCCTTTTTGTTCCCGTTCTTTCTCTCTAATATAATATCATATTTTTTTATATATAAATGAAATAATTTACATTTTTAAAAAAACCAACATTATATAGCTTGTATTTAACTAATTAAATTACTCGTTCTCTTTCTGTATTCGTTATTTCTTGTCCCGATATTTGAAATATTTAAGTAATTTGAAACTTACTTTTGCTATTTAAATTTCATATTCATGTATGATACCCGTCATTTGATATTTAAAAGTTGAACTTGAATTTATGTTTCCAAATTTTTTATACCATCTTGTTTTTGATGAGAAATAGTTATATAATTCTTTTTTTTTTAATTAACCGTTTCTTTTTGTGCTCGTTCTTTCCTTATAAGATAAGATTATATATATATTTTTTTATAAATCGCATCATTTACATATTTTTTTTTTAAAAAACAACATTATATTGCCTGTAATTAACAACATTTAAAAAAACAATACCGTTAATTATTAGGTTGTAGAAACGTATAGCTTGTAATTAGAGTATAATGTTTTATTTTGTATTACCGTAAAATTTGAAGAAATGTAAGCAAAGAGTCACATTTATAAACTACGAACTTATCCCTGTTTAAATCTTCAAAAAGAAATGAATCAATTGAACAAAAAATATATTAAATATTTTACTAAGTAATGAAAATTCAAATAACTATTTTATTCCATTAACTGTTTAATTCTTTTTGTGAATTGGCAATGTTATATTATATGGAAAATATAATAATCGTGTGATATGATTTCCTGAACTTACTTAAAATTATTAAATGCTAATTGCATATTAGTTAATATCCAGCGAAATTG